GTGATCACACTTAAATGATTTGTTGCATTTCCTGCCATTACTGAAACTTTTTGCATTTTCCACCGATGGGTTTATTTTTAAAACTCTGGATATGAAAAGAAAAAAAACTGAAACAATTCAACACTTCTGACCAAGTCTTCTTTTGAGAATAAAAAATATCTGATGTGGATTTTAAATGTTTTCTTAAAGTGACGTGAACTGAAACTAACAAAAAACACGTACCTCATGAAACTTCTAGTTTCCTACACTTTCAAATAAATTTTTCAACTAGAGCTCAAAATGAAATGGCACAAATTAACCCAAATGGTTGTCAGAATATGTTGCCAAAAGTCAAATTTCACAAATAGCCAGATATGGACTCACTAAGATGGAGCCACCAATGCTAATCAGTCAGCTAATCAGGTTCACATCCAACAGGACACAGGTCAGATAGTACAAGTGCTAGAAATTGACAATATTGGCCAGGTCACAGAAAGGCTAAACACCAATGAGGTTCTTATTGGGTGCCTTTTGAATGGTCCACTAATGGCTGTCAGTGAAAGAAGAATCAAGATCAATGTCTACCCTAATGAAAACAATTGGCCTATTACGCTCCAAACCAAGCTGAGGTTTGTTTGAGCCCTTCATTTTTACCCATAATCAATTGATTTGGATCAGTCAGGTCAGTTGATTGGTTAGAAACTGTAAAATACATGAAATAACAACAAAAAAGGCAAAAGCAAACTGCACATTATCATGGAACTAAGCAATTTTAAACAAAGATCTGGCCACTAGCTTTAGATGTTTTGTTGTAAAGCCAAATAACCACGTTCACAGCTCAGAACTCAAACTCAAGCAACATCAGCAGAATTATAAGTTCCCCATATCTGCTGAGGGAAGCCTATATGTGAACAGCAGAGATGTGTAAACGGACAGCTGGGAGCAAGAGGGAGACAGAGATTTGCACTGATCACTACATTTTTATAGTCTTCACACCCACACACTATCCTAGGCTGGCGCTACACACCCACTGGCCAGCAGTTACAGCCCAAATAGTCCCCATTGACAGCTAAATAAGAATAGGTAAAATTGCAGGCAGAAAACAGTGTTTCTAGAGATTGGTTGAGAATTATGTGTTTTTTTCCCCATTTAAATAAAAAGGAATATTTGGCTTACAAGTGACAGTGTCCTAAAACAAGTTATAYGCATATACGTATATGCCCCAGAACAAAGCCCTTTAGGCCCATAATAAGTGAAGAATGTGGTTATACTGGTTTCCTAGTGGGAGAGGTTAACTGTACAGATTCATGTCCTATCCATTTAACAATTTTTTTTATTTTCATTCACTTAAAATTTACAACACACAAATTTAGAAAGCTCTCTGTTGTCTTTCACTAGAAATGTACAAACAGGCAAAAAGGATCATGTCAACATCTGGGGAGGAAGTCTTGAAGCTGCGTTGAGATTCAGTCCAATCCAATTTTTATATAAAGCCCTTTAAAACACTGCAGTGGAACAAAGTGCTGTACAGTGCAAACTATAAAATATACAACTAATTCCAGGGGTAAACATAAGGAAATTTATAGGTTGTCCAGCAGACAACCTCTTGACAAAATCTGGTTCTTCACCAACATTTTTTGTACTCTGCAACCTTGGAATTCTTAAGAAAGATACAGATTTAAAACAGCTTTCCTTTAATTTACTTTTATTTGAATAATTATTTGTATAGCATTTCAATTGTAACTGTGTAACTTTTGCTGCCAGGACTCCCTTGAAAAATACGTTTTAAATCTCAYTGGGACCTTCCTGGTTAAAGAAAAGTTAAATAAAAAAATAACATTTTAGTGTTAAAATAAGGAATTGTCTGATATACTTATAAAAATATATATAGCAAAGGAAGTCCTTTGCACAGTAGGAATTC